TAAATAAATAAATAAATAAATAAATAAATAAATAAATAAATAAATAAATAAATAAATAAACAAATAAATGAATAAATGAATAGATGAAGGAATAGATCGGAGCAGCGGCGAAGTCCGGTCTTCAGCAGCAGGGGGGAAAAGCTGAAAACAGAAATGCAAAAGTTTTTTCGAACGGAATTTAATTTTCTTTTTTGAATTAAAAAGAAAAACAAAAAAGAAAATCAAAAAAGAAAACAAAAAGACAAAAGAAAGAAAGAAAACAGAAACTGGAAGTCCCAGCGCATGCAGCAGCAGCTCCGGGGCTGTGTGGCGTTCCTTCTAGTTCCGAAAACCCTAAACCCTAAACCCTAAACCCTAAACATTTTTGTTCATTTTGTTTCTTCTTTTCATTTATTTTCTTTTATTTCCACTCCATTTAATCCAATTCAACTTTTTATTCCTTTAAATGCCGAATTCCCGCACTTTGCGCAGCCACGCGCTCCGCTTTCCGCATCCCGATGCTAAACCCTAAACCCTAAACCCTAAACCCTAAACCCTAAACCCTAGCGCTCCTACGGAGTTGAGTTTAGAGCCGCGGGAATAAACTTCTTGCAAAGTGAAAATAAAGTGAAGTAGATAATTAAGTCCCTTTAAACTTGACTTCAACCTTCCTCCTTCTTAGAAGGGCCACCACCAGCAAACCCTAAACCCTAAACCCTAAACCCTAAACCCTCAGCCCTGCAGTATCAGGCGGTTGCTTTTGCCCTTCTCCTTTATGGCCCTTTCGTATATAGTGCAGAAGGTAACACTAACATCTTGCTGCCGTCACTGCTGCTGCTGCTGCTGCAGCTGCTGCTGCTGCTGCTGCTGCTGCTGTCCTTGTTGCTGCAGCAGCAGCCGTTGCTGCTCTTGCTGCATTTGCTGCTGCTGCCGTCGTTGCTGAAGCAGCACCTGCTGCCACTGCTGCTGTTGGCGCTGCTGCTGCTTGAAAACCTGCTGCTGCTGCCACAAGTATTGCTGCTGCTGCTGCTTGTCCAAGTATTGCTGCTGCTACTACAAGTGTTGCTGCTGCTGCTTCAACAAGTATTGCTGCTGCTACTACAAGTGTTGCTGCTGCTGCTTCAACAAGTATTGCTGCAGCTGCTACAAGTATTGCTGCTGCTGCAAGTATTGCTGCTGCTGCTACAAGTATTGCTGCTGCTGCTACAAGTATTGCTGCTGCTGCTACAAGTATTGCTGCTGCTGCTGCTGCTACAAGTATTGCTGCTGCTGCTACAACTATTTCTGGCGCTGGCGTTACCCGTGCTGCAGCAGCAGTCGCTGCTGCTGCAGCAGCAACAGCAGCAGCAGCAGCGGCTGCTGCTGCTGCTGCAAGGAAGCAACAGAAAGAGACAAAAGGTGATAGATGGAGACAAAAGGGTTTCTCTTTTTGGAATTAAATTAATTAAAAAATTGAGCAGCAGACGCAAACCTCTATTCAAATGGCCTCGACAACCAAAACCCTAAACCCTAAACCCTAAACCCTAAACCCTCGGAGCCGCAGCTGCTGCCGCTAAGGCCCAGCCAAGCGATAGAACCGAAACCACAAATTGCAAACCCTAAACCCTAAACCCTAAACCTTGAATAAAAATCATCAGACCTTTCCGCGTGGGGTCAATCTACCGACGCGCTGCCAAACCCTAAACCCTAAACCCTCGCCCCTAAACCCTAATTCAGGGTTTGGAGCTTCTCCTTCCAGCCTTAACCCCGAACGCTGGAACCGCGAAATCCCACAAACATTCCAAACCCCAAACACTAAACCCTACGGGTCCAGGGCAGTGCGGGTCATCCCGAAACCCAAACCCTAAACCCTAAACCCTAAACCCTAAACCCTAAACCCTAATCGTCTAGGGCTATGTGGGTCAAGTTGACACACAAAGGATTTGCACAGGCCATCGTGAAGGCTTTCTTCGGCTTCTCCTGCAGCTCGTTGAAGCTCTCCTCGTCTGCAGCAGCAGCAGCAGCAGCAGCAGCAGCAGCAGCAGCAGCAGCAGCACTCTGCAGCTTTGCAGCTACTCGCCTATCTTCAATCCGCTAGCTAACCAGCTGACTGGCTAGCTAGCTAGCTAGCTAGCCAATCAGCTAGCTAGCTAGCCAGCGAGTAAACAGCACCACAAGCAGCGCCACCACCACAATAATCACCACAATCCCCACAAGCAGCAGCAGCAGCAGCAGCAGCAGCAGCAGCAGCAGCAGCAGCAGCAGCAGGTTTCCAAAGCTGATCGAAATTGGCATGAAAACCACGAGAAGATCCTCGCAAAGCCATTAAAGCAACTTTTGAAATCTGCATTAAACTCCAAAGACTCCAAAAAAGGCATTTGGCCTCCAATTTGAACGAAAAAAGGCTCAAAAAAGGTCTTTTTGGAGCTTTTTTTCGCCAAGTCGGAGCCAACTGAAGGCCACTTGCCTGCGTAGAGGAAAACGAGAGTTCTGTTGACGTAAGTTTGGCTTTCTTGGCTTTCTCCGGGCTTGACCATTCGAATGACTGGCAAGTTGTCTTCTTCGGACAAGTCTCCGTACCAAACCACGCACTGCTTGTCGTCGCCCAGCACGGGGTCGTAGCCGCGGTGCACGCCGCGCGCGATCTTCTCTGAAACGCAAAAAGCTGCGCGATCTCGCGCGAAAATGAGTTCTTTGAGACTTTAATGCAATTTATTTTCTCTTTTCATTCAAATCGCAAAAAAAACGAAAAAAAATGAACAGCTTTCCGCCGCTTTCCGCGGCGGCGCGCGCGCGCGGCGCCGCGGTGTACAGACACCCGAGCAGCGCCCGAACTTGCAATTTTTCCGAAATGTTCGAACAGAAGAATAAAAAGAATTAAATTCAAAACACATTTTCAAAAGAATTCAAATGCAGCAACTTGGAGAAATAATCGGGTTGAAAAGGACTTGAACGCGAACTTGAACGCGAACTTGAACGGGAAGGAAAGCGAGTCAAAGACCCGCTCTGCGGGGCAACTAGCGCGCCAAACCCCTCCAAAAACGCGGAATTAAACAAAGAATTAAAAAAGAATTAAAAAAGAATTAAAAAAGAATTAAAAATAAAAAAAATTCAAAAAAAAAACTCACGGAGAATCTCAATGCGGGCCTCAGCAGTCTGCCAAAACTCCCGAGCCCGCGGGTGCACGTAGTGCTCCCAAGCCCTGCAGACGGCTTCGACTTCTTCGGGACTTCGCGGCTCGAAGGTCTCTTGCGAGGCGTACCGGTCCGTGAAGGCGCTGTCCCCCTGCAGCAGCAGCAGCAGCAGCAGCAGCAGCAGCAGCAGCAGCAGCAGCAGCAGCGGGTGCAGCAGCAGCAGCAGGGGCGGACAAGGGGGGATGCTGCAGCGAAAGATGCAGCAGCGGCGGAGGACCAGCAGGAAGTGCAGCGGCAGGCAGGGCGGCAGCTAGTGAGAAGCCGATATAACAGCAGCAGCAGGAAGCGGAGGGGAATGTTCTCGCTATTCTCTTGCTGCTTGGAGAAACTTGAAGAAGTTTGCTGCTGCTGCTTGTTGTCCCTTTATTATTTGAAAATTATATTCCCAATAAATTTTATTTATTATTTATTATTTAATTATTTAACTATTTAATTATTTAATTATTATTATATTATTATTACTATTATATTATTAAACTTTGTTAGAAGAGTTTATTATTTTAAAAAGAAATAAATGCGAAGTGGAAAAGCAGTTGGAGTGCACGGAAGGGCTGCGAGCTGTACATACACTGCAGGGAAACGAAAGCAGCAGCCAGCCACACACACACACTGCTGCTGCTGCTGCTGCTGCCGCTGCTGCTGCTGCTGCTGCTGCTGCTGCTGCTGCTGTTGCTGCTGCTGCTGCTGCTGCCACCCCGAGAAGCAAGAAAGCTCGTCAGGAAAGAAAAGCGGTGGGTGCGGGCGGGCGCGCGGCCCGCGCTGCACCTGCGGCCGGCGCCGCCGCCGCCGCCGCAGCAGCAGCAGCAGCAGCAGCAGCAGCAGCAGCAGCAGCAGCAAATAAAAAGAATTCTCACCTCGGAGTTGGAGTGCGAAGAACTCTCCTGGGCCTGCGAACTTGTGCGTTTTTTCTTTTTCTTTTTGTCGTCTTCAGCGCCGCCGAAGCCGAAGAGAGCAGCAAAGGGGGTGTTGCTGCAGACCCTGCAGTTCCACATGGTGTGCTGCTGCTGCTGCTGCTGCTGCTGCTGCTGCTGCTGCTGCTGCTGCTGCTGCTCATGACCTTCCGTCGCTGCTGCTGCTGCTGCTGCTAGTCCGCTGCTGCAAGCTCGCCAGCTCTGCTGCTTCAAACTCTCCAGCTTTAATAAATAAAAAGGAATAAAAACAAATAAATAAACTTCAACTTTTCTTCACAAAACAAATCCAAAAAATAAACAACTGCAGCAAACCTTGAGGGTCTTTGGGGGCCCCCAGGGGGCCCCCAAAGACCCTCAAGGCCCTGGGGGCCCCCCTTTGGGTTTTCTGCAAATAAAAATTAAAAAGTTTTTTCTTCGAAGTTACCTGGGGGGCCCCCCGGGGCCCCAAAAGGGTACTGGGGGGCCCCCGGGGCGGGGCGGAGGGGCTGGAGAAGAGAAAGAAATAAATAAAAAAAGAAATTAAAAAAAGAATTTAATTTGATTTTAATTCTTTTAAAAAGTCTTTTTCGACTTTTCAAATTTGCCCCACTTCTTTTGTCTTTCTGCTTCTCCTCCTGTCTTTTGTTCTTTCTGTTCCTTTAAATCGAAATGCCTTTTGCTGCTGCTGCTGCTGCTGCTGCTGCTGCTGCTGCTGCTACTGCCGCAAAAGCTGCTGCCGTTACTACAACTGCTGCTGCTGCTGCTGCAGCAGCAGCAGCAAGTGGTAAGCAGTTGAATACTAATTGGAGTTATTTCTCTTCTCAAAACTAACTGGAAATGTCAGTTATTTAATTCTAATTAAAAGAATTAAATTGTTTTATTTGAATTTATAAAAGGCGAATATAAATTCAAAAAGCAACAACTGGTGAGCTCCAGGTGTATGTACACCCGAGCGCACTTCAGCAGCAGCAAACGGCGAAGTTGAATTTGCAGCAATTCAGTTTAATTTGAATAAAATAAAAGAATTAAATGAATTTAAATTAATTATTTCATTTAATTCTTTTAATTTGTTTTTATTTTTTCCTTTAATCGCAAAATTGCTTCTTTCTTCTTTCCCTCCTCCGCCGCGAGGCGCCTCCGTTCGTCCTGAGCCAAAAAGGAAATTAAAATCTTTTTTGAATTATTAAATTTTTATTATTATTAAATTCAAAATTAAAAAATTATTATTTTCTTTTTTATTTTGAATAATTGTCATAATGAGGCAACAAAGATTCCTTTTTATAATGCAGTTCGAAGTGGCAGAACAAGTGCAGTGTACAGACACCGCAGGTCCAGAAAGAAGAAAATTAAATGTTTTCAGTTGCGAAAAGAAAAGTAAAATAAAAACAAAAAAGAAAAGAAAAAAGAAAGAAAAAGAAAAAGAAAAAACAGATGGAGAGCAAGTGGAGAAGAAGAGTAATTAAATCGCAATTAAATCTCCTTGGAAGAAGGAGAAAAGAAAGAAAATGGGAAATTAAAAAGAATTGAAAAGATATTTAAAAATAGAAAGAAAATGGGAATTTAAAAAGAATTAAAAAGATATTTAAAAATAGAAAGAAAATGGCAATTTAAAAAGAATTAAAAAGATATTTAAAAATAGAAAGAAAATGGCAATTTAAAAAGAATTAAAAAGATATTTAAAAAGCTTTTAATGAAAAAAAGAAATAAATTAAAAATGCAAATTCACCTCCAGGGTCTGCGCCAGCATGCTGCTGTAGTGACACCTGAACTCCTCGCGCACTTCCTCGCAAGCCTCTTTGTATTTCTTTTGCAGTTTCTGATTTTAAAAAAACAAATAAATTAAATCATTTAAACTCTTTTTCGAAGAAAATAAGCAAATTAAATCATTTAAACTCTTTTTCGAAGGAAATAAACAAATTAAATCATTTAAACTCTTTTTCGAAGGAAATAAATAAATTAAATCATTTAAAACTCTTTTTCGAGGAAAATAAATAAATTGAATCATTTAAAACTCTTTTTCGAAGAAAACAAATAAAATAAATCATTTAAAACTCTTTTTCAGGGAAAATAAATTAATTAAATCATTCAAAACTCTTTTTCAAACATTTTAAACTCTAGTGCATGCAGAAAGAACAGTAGAAGTGAAAAGGAAAACAGAAAAGAAAAAACAAAAAGAATTCGAAAGGAACAAATTTACAAATCCGAAAAGAATAAAATGATTTTTTAATAAAGTGAAATAAATAAAAAAGAAAAAACAAAAGAGCAAATTAATGAATGGACAAACGCGCTGCTGCAAAAGCAAACGAGTAAAAGAAATAAATAAAAGATTTAAAAATAAAAAAATTAAATAATAAAAGAAATAAATAAAAAAGATTTAAAAATAAAAACAAAAAAATTAAATAAAAGACAAAAATAAAACAAAAGTTATTTACCTCTCGAAGCTCCAGGAGTTGAGCTGCTGCTCCTTCCTTTTTGCTGTCAAAAAGCAAAATGGATTTTAAAATAAATTAGAAAGTTTTATTTGAAATAAAAATTAAATATTTTATTTAAAATAAAATAATTAATTAAGTTTTAACTTCAAACAAACAAACAAGATTTTAAATAAAATAAAAAGAAGTTTTATTTGAAATAAAAATTAGATATTTTATTTAAATTAAAATAATTAATTAAGTTTTAACTTCAAACAAATCCCACTTGTTTGCATTTGCCGCCTTCTCTTGGAGTTCTTGAATGTTCTGTAAATTTCGAAAAAAATAAAAAAAGAAAATTAAATTTATTTTTGCAATTAAGTTTTTAAAAAGTGAATTAAATGCCATTAATTGTCTTCAAAAGAGTTGTTTGTTTATTTAAAACAAATAAAACAAATCCATTAATGCAATTATTTAAAATTACTTTTCGAATTTCTTTCTTTTTAGTTGTTTGTTTATTTAAAACAAATAAAACAAATCCATTAATGCAATTATTTAAAATTACTTTTTGAATTTCTTTTTCTTTAATTGTTTATTGATTTAAAACAAATAAAACAATCCATTAATGCAATTATTTAAAATTACTTTTCGAATTTCTTTTTCTTTTTTTCGCAAACTCAAAATTTCATTTTCTCCCATTTGCTTCTCTTCGTCCAGCCGCCCAATTGCTGCTGCTGCTTCTTCGCTTTGCTGCTGCTGCTGCTGCAGCTGTTCCTGAAATATAAATAAATATAAATAAATATAAATAAATATAAATAAATATAAATAAATATAAATATAAATATAAATATAAATATAAATATAAATTATAAATAATAAATAATAAATAAATAAAAAATGAATTAATTTAAATGGAGAAAGTGGTGGAATTCGGCAGAGACAGACGACGGCAATTAAAGTTTGAAATGCGAATTTGAAATAAAGTTTTAATTCATCATTTTGAATGCATCTTTAGAAAAAGATGAAAAAGTTTAAACTTTTGAATTAAATTCAAATTTAAATTTAATTTAATATTAAATTAAATAAAATTTAAATTCAAATTTAAGTTTAAATATGAATTGAATTACATTTAAATTCAAATTTAAATTAAATTAAATAAAATTAAATTTAAATTCAAATTTAATTCTTTTAATCCTCACATCAAGAAGAGCCTTTTCTCTCTGTCTGTCTCTCAGGCGCTGTTCTGCCAAATCGACCTGAGGGAAAAAATAAAAAAAAAATAAAAAAATAAAACTTTTTGAAATAAAAAAGAATTGAATTAAACTGAGGCTTTTGCTGCCTCATTGGGGAGACAAAAGGAGCAAAAGAAGGCCATTTGAGCTGCAGCAAATGAAGAAAAGTAATTCCAAAAAAGAATTTCTTTTTTACTTTTTTTAATTCCAAATCTGTTCTTTTTTGGGCCCAAATTAAAGCCTGGGTCATTTCTTTTTGCTGCGCCGACACTGCAGCAAGAGCAGCAACAGAAAGCTTTTCTTCATTCTGCAAAAAAGAAATTAAAAACCGTTGCTGCTGCTGCTGCTGCTGCTGCTGCTGCTGCTGCTGCTGCTGCTGCTGTTGTGGATGTTACCTGACCAATGGTCTCTTCTTTTTGTTTTATTTCTTTTTCTTTTTCTTTTAAAAGTTTCTTTTCGCTTTCCAGCAGCGCCGCCGCTTCCGTGTGTTCCACCAAAGCGGAGTCCTGAGGAATCTTGAAGTTCAGAATCCGGTTTATTTCTTTTCTTTTTAATTATTTATTTCAATTTTAATTTCAATTTTAATTTCAATTTTAATTTTAATTTTAATTTAATTTAATTTGAAGTTCAGCTTCTCACGCGAGCAGCAAGAAGAGTCTGCAGCTTCTCCTCGCCTTCTTGCAAAGTCTGCTGCAGCTGCGCTGCTGCTGCTTTTGCTGCAGCAAATTCTTCGAGGAGATTTTCTTTTTTTTTCAACTCCGCAATTTTTTCTTTTTGGATTTTAATTTCATTTATGAGTTGCTGCTTCGCAGCAGCCAGCGCTGCGTCTCTGTCGCGAGAAAAAGTTGCAAAAGTTTTGCAAAAAGTCCAAAAACTTGCAAAGATTTGCAAAGATTTGCAAAGATTTGCACTTACTGCTGCCGCAGCTGCTTCATTTTCTCCATTGTGGTGTACATTTGATCAGTGCTTTTTTTCATTTCTGTTTTTATTTCATTTAATTTCTTTTCGAGGTTTTCTTTTTCTCCTTTTTTCGCCTCCGAGGCTTTGCTGCTTTCTTCCTGCTGCAGCTCCGCCTCTTTCTGTTTTTATTTAATTCAAAGTTCAATTAAATCCATTAAATCAAATTTAATTAATTTAAAGTTCAATTAAATCCATTAAATCAAATTTAATTAATTCAAAGTTCAATTAAATCCATTAAATTTAATTAATTCAAAGTTCAATTAAATCCATTAAATCAAATTTAATTAATTCAAAGTTCAATTAAATCCATTAAATTTAATTAATTCAAAGTTCAATTAAATCCATTAAATCCAATTTAATTAATTCAAAGTTCAATTAAATCCATTAAATCCAATT